TCCTTCCGGAACCGGATGCCTGCTTAACGTAGGAGATCGTCCGCAATACTTTTGGGCGAAGGCAGACGGAAGGATCCGAGGACGGGGGGAACGGAGGGCGGAGGGATCGGAGGTCGGAGGGCGGATCGGAGGACGGATCGGGGGCATCGAGGTGCGGAGGGAACGGAGGGCGGAGGGATCGGAGGACGGAGGGATCGGAGGATGGTGGGGTATTTGAATCCCGTACCGGCCACACAATCGTCGTAGTAGTATTGGTGTCGGTGTGTCCGTTGGCCAAGGCCATGTCGTCGGAGTTGTCCCTATCACCACCGTCGGGAGTATCGTAATCATAATGCTTACCATTATCATACTACCATCGGTATCCGGTGTGATTGGTATTGCCGTCGTAACACCCCGTGCCGTGTCCAGAGAAATCGTTTCCGTCGTGATGTTTGCCGTCGTAGACGTAGTACTGCTGAACGTCGTCGTGCCGATGGTGACTGAGGCCGGGGAGTCGGTGGAGTTGATAGTGTAATCGTCGCATGTATTGGTGCTGGCGTTGGTGCCGGCGTAGGCGCACACATTGTTGCCGACGTAGGCGCTGGGTTGGAAGCCGATGGGGCCCGCCTGGGAGCCGTCGCCGGCGTCGGTGCTGGCGTTGTTGCCGGCGTACGCGCAGACATTGTTGCTGATGTAGGCGCCGGCCTGGGGGTCGGCGGAGGCGTCGATGGTGTAATCGTCGCAGGTGTTGGTGTTTGCGTTGGTGCCGGCGTGGGCGCAGACGTTGCTACCGACGTAGGCGCCCGCCTGGGAGTCGTCGCCAGCGTCGGTGCTGGCGTTGGTGCCGGCGGAGGCGCAGACGTTGCTGCCGACGTGGGCGCCGGCCTGGGAGTCGTCGCAGGCGCCGGTGCTGGCGTCGGTGCCGGCATAGGCGCAGAGGTTGCTGCCGACGTAGGCGCCGGCCTGGGAGTCGGTGGAGGCGTTGATGGTGTAGTCGTCGCTAATGGTGGTGCTGGCGTTAGTGCTGGCGTAGGCGCAGACGTTGCTGCTGATGTAGGCGCCGGCCTGGGAGTCGTCGCAGGCGTCGGTGCTGGTCTTCGTGCCGGCGGAGGCGCGAACGTTGTTGCCGACGTAGGCGCCCGCATGGGAGTCGTCGCAAACGCTGGTGCTGGCGTTGGTGCCGGCGCACGCGCAGATGTTGTTGCTGACGTAGGCGCTGGCCTGGGAGTCGGTGGAGGCCAGACCTGGGTCGGGATGCCATCCTTGACGAAGAAGGGGCGTTAGAACTGGGGTCGGATATGGGCCAGGAGTCAGGTCTGACGTCGGAATTGGGACCGGATACTGTCCGAGAGAGTTCTGTCCAAAATGTCTCGGGATCGCCCCGGGAGCCGGTTTCGCATCTAGTGCGGAATACCATCCTGGACCCAAGCTAACCCTTCGATTTCTGTGCAAATGCTCGCGGTCCTTTCCCTTTTTCCTTTCTCTCCTTCCTCCCCCGTCCTCTTGCGGATTGTAGTCCACCATGGTCTTCACCGTCGCAGTGCCGCTGTGTTTGGAGCCACTCGTCGAACCCGCATTGGAGATGTCAAACATAGCGTCAATACCAACACAAATGTATACATACATGACGGAATCGCTGTTATATGGTTGTACCACCCATCCCTGCACACACTGCACCCGGATAACATGAAATATGCAACCGTCACACCCATCATATAAGCAATAGTCTTCATACCGCGCATACACATTGCTATGGGTAATGTTCAGTACGGCGCAAATCGGGGACGAACCCTTGGCAACCCAGGGAGTGGGTGGAACGCCGGCAGTGTAGGGGGCAAACCTGCCAACCTGCGTAGGAAATCTGATTCCGAGAGTCCTGCGTTCCACGACATGGTCGTTAAAGCACCCGGCCCCTGTATTGCCAAATTGCGCAAAACCTCGAGCTGTGCTGCCTCCTCCGCGGTGAGCTGCGGCTGGAGCAAGACCGGTGGGGGCGCCGGCAGTACTGGTATGTTGCATCCTTTGAACGTAATCGTCAATACCACACCCACCAGGACCCCCGCCACCAACCAGCCCCAGGCGAGGCCAAACGGGCCAAAGCCAGGGATCGCATAGTATTCCCGGGTGAAGCCGAAGCAGACCATGCTTGTGTGGACGGTGGACAGCCAACACTCGTTGGGGAGAGTTGCCATGTATGCCTTCGTTCCACGGGCGGCTGCAGATCCCCAGGGCCATACAGCAGACCCCCATCCACCCCAGTCCACACTGGTCACTAGGTCCCACCATGTCATTGGTCGTCGGCACACGGACGCGGTGAGGGCGAGAAACAAAGCGAGAATGAAACGTGGGATGTAAGCGGTAAGTGCAGGAAGGGAGGGAGGTTAGGGGATGTCGAGCCCTACTACTATTACTACTATTATCAATTTTATTACTACTATTACCAGTGCTATAGCCACTACTACCTCTACTACCCCTATGCTCGGCGTCCTGGCAATTGTCTATCTTTGGGGCGAGTGGCCACCGGGGCCAGGCGCGCGAGGCCGGTCCGACCGAGCCCGCCGCCGAGAAAACGCGTCAAGCGGAGCGAGCCTCGAGCCATCGTCGGGCCCTGGCTGTGCCATCGCAGCTTGCAGGAGGAGGAGCAGAAGCAGCAGCCGCAGCAACACGGGGAGGAGGGGGAGGGGCAAATGCTAGCGCACCAGCAATGGCGGCTCAGTTGGGGAAGAGGGTGGTGTAGGGGCAAGGGTCGGGGGGCGGGGGCAGTGGTCCTTGGCGTGCTGGCGGTCGTGATAATCTCCGTGGATGTGGGGGTCGTTCTGGCGGTCGCGCTGGTGGCGATCAAGCGTTTGGGAATCGCGTTGGTCGTCGTACTGATGGCTGTCGTGGGCGGTGGTCGCGGGAGTCGTGGTTGTCGTGGTGGGGTTCGTGGCCGCTGGTGGCGATCGTGGTCGCCAGAGCGCTGGTGCGGCCGCTGGTGGTGGTCGCAGTGGTCCAGGCGGTGGCGTTGGTCGTGATAACTGTGGTGGAGGCTGTGGGGGGGCTGGCGGTTCAGCGCCCGAGCGCGCTCAGCAGCATCTCGGCACTACTCCTTTGAAGGGTTGTGCTTATCTGCCGTCGCCCAGCAGCTCAGAGCGTTCGCCGTCGTCGAGGTCCGCTCCGCAGCTGCGGACGAAACTGTCTGCCTCGTCGCTGGGCCGGCCCCCTCTCTCGAAGACTAGGGGGACCAGCTCGCCACCGTGCGGGGTGTCAGGGGGTACCGTTCCCGCCTCTTGTCCACCGACTGGGAGGACTTGCGTAGCGTCCCTGTCGGCCCGGCGCCCCTGCGTGAAGCGTAGATTGAATGTATACAGGCGGTGATCCATTCGACGTAGACGTGGCGCCCCTTGGCTGGGTCGCAAGTGGAGAGGCCGAAAACTGCTTGCTAGAGCATGCCCGTGCGGGGCGTCGACGATCCCAGGCGGAAGCGGCCTGCTCCGTGGGCGCCGCGAAGCCTGTGAGCTCGGCGTGTTTCGCGGAGTGCCAGTCGTGGCAGCTTTTGTGGCGCCTGGGAATTCGCCTACCTCGCACTTGACCGCGTGCCAACCGTGCGGGTCGAGAGTTTCGTTGCACAAGCTGCCATCCTGGCGGCGGTGCTGGCAGCAAGAGCCCGGGGGGCGAAACCGGGACGCAGATTCGTCGCTTCAAATTGCCCTCCAAATGCGCGTCTGGCTAGCGGGGGTCGCCCGGTTGGCGCGGGAGGAGCCAGCTGCCGGCGCCTGTGCCTCCGACATTATCCTTCCTTCTCGTCCTGCTCCCTTTCCTCCTCCTCCTGCTCCTCCTCCTGTTGCTCCTCCTCGTCCTCGTCCTCGTCCTCGTCCTCGTCCTCCTCCTCCTCCTCCTCCTCATTCGCTCTCCTCCCTCTCCCCTCCGCCTCGGCACTACCCTCGACCCTATCCCCGAGGGCAGCTCAATCTTCATGCGAAAGAACACAAACAGTGCGCCCAACGTGTCACTATCCCTCACTATTTTCACGCAGTCCGTTCTAGAAACCCCGGATTCCAAACAATTGTCATCTCTGTACAGGGAATTGTTGGTTTCCTCTTCCTCCGGCCTCCGTCGAGAACGAGGTCCAAATCCTCCGATTTCTCGAAGGCGAAGCCTTTTTCTGGAGTGGCCCACGTGCTCTTGGAAGATCGGAGAAGGCAAGAACCGCCCCCGCGCGCCGCACGGAACGGACAGGGATTCAGGGAGGGCAACGCCCGATGGGAAGGCGCACCATAGAAAATGCTGGAAATGGAAAAGTGGCCCCCTCCTCCTCCGCCTCCTCCTCCTCCTGACTCCTCCTCCGTCTCTTCCTCCGACTTCTCCTCGTCTTTGGTCTCGTTGAGTTGTGCACGCTCGCTCCTCTGCATGTGGCCTTGCCTGTCCTTTTTCCTTTTTTTTCGGCGCACTCAGGCGTTTAGGTGGTAGTTCCTCCTCCTCCTCCTCGTTCTCCTCCTCCTCCTCCTCCTCCTCCTCCTCCTCCTCCTCCTCACCACCACCACCATGACCATGCGCATGAGCATGACCACGACAATGACGGTCACCATCACCATCACAATGACCATCATCAGCATCATCATCATCAGCAGCATCATCATTATCAGAATCAGCAGCATCATCATCATCATCATCAGCATCAGCATCAGCATCAACGTCATCATCATCAGCAGGAGCATCATCATTATCTCCTCCTCCTCCTCCTCCTCACCACCACCATGACCATGACCATGAGCATGAGCATTTTTTCATCGGCAAATTGGGCTATGACATCTGAAGACCAGCATCTGCGTGCCATACGCGAGTCGGGGCTATTCGTAGTGTACAACACGATGCACTTAGAACCCGCCGCCAGGGCACGGTGCTCACTCTAGCCATGCAGATCGCGATGCGTGCGAGCGACGGTGCACGAGTGCTAAAGACAAGTGAATGCTCTACCTCGGGCGGTGTAGGGACGTCAGGTGTGCAGTTGGCTGGAGTACAAAGCATCTCAGGCTTACGCATTAGACATACTGGCAAGGATTACCTACTTGGGTGAAGGCCTCCGACCATGACGATCACCATCACCATAACCATCATCATCATCATCAGCAGCATCAGCATCATCACCATCAGCATGAGCATCATCATCATCATCAGCATCATGTCCTCCTCCTCGTCTTCACCACCGCCACCACCACCACCATGACCAAGAGCATGAGCATGATCATGACGATCACAATCACCATGACCATCATTATCATCAGCAGCATCATCATCATAATCAGCAGCATCAGCATCATCATCAACAGCATCAGCATCAGCACCCTCATCCTCATCAAAACAAAAACCATCACCATGAGCATCATCATCGGCAGCATGATCAGCATCACCACCATCATCACCATCACCATCGTCGTCATCGTCATGGTCATCGTCATCACCATCGTCGTCATCATCAGCACCATCAGCATCATCATCAGCATCATCATAATCATCGTCGTGAGCATCACCACCATCCTCGGCATCATACTTAACATCATCATCGTCATCGTCATCCTCAGCATCTTCATCACCACCATCATCACCATCAGCATCACCATCAGCATCACCTTAACATCACCATCGTCATCATCAGCAGCATCATCGCAGTCGTCGTGGGCGTCGTCGTCGTCATCAGCATTAGAAGCATTAGCATCAGCATCGACATCAGCAACAGCAGCATCATCCCAATCAGCATCACCATCACCATCATCATCACCACCATCATCATTATCAGCACCAGCATACGCATCAGCATCAGACGCACAACCAGCATCAGCATCAGCATCATGATCAGCAGCAGCAACATCATCATCATCACCATCACCGTCATCAACACCATCAGCAACAACATAATCAGCAGCATCATCCGCTTATCATCATCACCATCAGCTTCATACTCCTCATCACCAGCAACACCATCATCAGCATGATCAGCATCATCATCATCATAGTCATCAGCATCATCACCATCAGCATCAGCATCTTCACCATCATCTTCATCGTCGTCACCATCCTCACCATCATCATCATCATCATCATCATCATCATCATCATCATCATCATCATCGTCACCATCTTCATCATCATCATCATCAGCAGCATCACCATCAGCATCAACATCATCACCATCATCACCATCATCGTCGTCGTCCTCCTTCTCCGCCGCACCACCCGATTCCACCTTTTCTCGTTCTTCCTGGACCACGTGCTCACATGCTCTTCCTGCTTCTCCTTCTGTTCCTGTCCCTCCTCGTCATCCTCGTCCCCCTCGCATTTACACAGGTCGGGGCGGGCACGACCCCCCGCCCCAAAGAACGGCCCCACGAATGTCCAAGCTCCTTCGCACCCCACTCCCCGCCACGCCTGATCAATTCCCCTCACGCTCCTCGGCGCCCTCCCTCTACATTTCAGCAAGTCTGGCTGAATTTAAAAGGAGCGAGGGAGGGAGGAGGGGTAGTGGGGATGAGGAGGAGGACGACGACCAGGAGGAGCCATCCCCAAACGCCCGCCCGCGGCTGCAGTGGAGTCCGTCGTAGAGTCCTTCTCCCCCTCCGTCGCCTCCTCCTCCTCATCCACCTCCTCCTGCTCCTCCTCGTCCCCCTCCTCCGCCTCCTCCTCATCCTCCTTCTCCTCCTCCTCATGGCCGTCGTCGTCGTCGCCGTCGCCGTCGTCGTCGCCGTCGCCATCATCATCGGCATCATCCTCATCACCATCATCAGCAGCAGCATCAGCACCATCACCACCACCATCAACAGCAACAACAACCGCATCATCATCATAATCAGCATGATCATGAGCATGAGCAGGAGCATCAGCATCAGCATCATCATCGTAATCGTCACCATCATCAGAAACACCAACAATCGCATCACCACCATCATCGTCATCAGTATGTTCGGTAGTAGTACTGTCAACATCAGCAGCATTGCTATCAGCAGCAGCATCAGCATCTGATCGCCAGCATCAGCATCAGCATCAGCAGCATCATCAGCATCGTAAGTATCATCCTCAACAGCATCACCATCATAATCAGCCTCATCACCATCGTCATCATCCTCATCCTCCGCATCACTATCATCATCATCAGCGTCATTATCATCAACATCATCACCATCATAATCCTCATCAATATCAACATCATCGCCATCGTCATCGTCTCCGCCGTCATCATCATTGTCATCACCAGCATCATCCTCATCAGCATCATCATCCTCAACAATACCACAATCATCCCAAAGATCTCAATCAGCTTCATCATTCTACTCTGCATCGTTATCCTCGTCCTCCTCGTCGTACCTCACCATCAACATCATTGCCACACGACTGCAGCCTCCTCCTCCCGCCTCCCCGCTTCTTCCTCCACACTTCATCCCCCCTCAAGCTTACTGCATCTCCCTGTCTCTCCCTATCTCTCTCGCTCTCGTTCGCTCTCTCTCTCTCTCTCTCTCTCTAGATCGCTCCCTCTCTGTCTCGACTGGTCTCTCTCTCTCTCTCTCCCTCTCTCTCTATCTCGATATATTGTTACCTCTCTCTCTCACCCTCTCTATCTCTCTATATCAACCTCTCTCTATATCTATCTCTCCTCCTCTCACTCTCTCTCTCTCTCTCTCTCTCTCCCTCTCTATCGTTATAGATATCTCTCTCTCTCTCTCTCGTCTCTCCCTCTCGCTCTCTCTCTCTCTCTCCCCCTGCTTGCGTGTGTATGAGACTCTCTCTCTCTCTCTCTCTTTCTTTCTGTCGCTCTCTTGTTCTCGTTATCGTTATTTCTTGCTCTTTCTCGTTCGCTCTCTCTCTCTCTCTCTGTCTTTCTTCCCACACGAAGGAAGGCCACTGGATGGCGGATGGAGGAGGAGCGGATGATAATAATGATTTAAGGGAAGGGGTGGAAGGAGCAAGGGAGGAAGGGACGGGAAAACGTGCAGGATCAAGGAGAATGGGGAGAGGGAAGATAAAGGAGGGAGGAGAGAGGAGGGAATCGATGGAATTACATAGGGGAAGGAGGTGGAGGGGTGAGAAGCAGTAGGGGACGGTGGGCCGCAGGAAGATGGTACGCCCCTGGATGATTTCTTGATGAAGCGCTGGCTGTCTAATGGCGCCAAGTGCCCGCAGGTGTGATGCGCACTGTGTGACTCACCCTTGGAGTACCCGCTGTGCCAGCAGGGGGCCGCCGGGAGAGGGAGAGGGCAAGGGCTGGGCTGAGGGGGGCTCCTTCTCCCTCCTCGTCCTCCTTGTCCTCCTCCTCCCCACCCGGTGTCCTTACATATTACCCCTGCTTGTCTCAACCCTAGACGTGTCGGTCGCTTGGGCCTGGGGGCATTTCGCCTGAGACTCCCTCCCCATTTATGATCGCGAAGTTTGGAACTTGCAACAGTTGCGCGGATGGGGGTCATGGGGGCTTCGCCTTAGCGTTGCGCGCCTTCGTCTTCAGAGGTTGCAGCAGCTGCAGGGTTGGAGGGGGGTCGTTTCAAAGTGGGACTCTCGCCTGAGTGCTGCACACATTTGTTTTCTTAAACGTTGCAACAATTCTGCGGATCGGGGTTAGATTTCAAACACGGGGCTACCGCCTCGCGCCAGGCACCTTCGTCTTACACGCTTGTGTCGGTTGCACAATATCTTACAACATTGGGCTCATGCCTGAGCTCTGCGCACATTCGCCCCCAAACGCTTGCAGAAGCTAGAAGGATGGAGGGGGAGGGGGGTAGTTTTCAACATGGGGCTATCGCATTAGCGCCGCGCACCTTCGTCTCAATAGTAAAAGCCGTTATAGGTTGGAGGCGGTGCACGTACGGCAGCACACCATGCTGGGCCAGGTACTTGCTGGCCTCGGCGGGGCCTGCCGCCTGGCTTGCGTCCGAGGCCGCCGTGGTCGCCTCCGCGCCCGAGTCCCGCAGGGCCAACACAAGGCTGGCCGCCTCCCCGCCGCTGCTGGGCACGCCGACGCAGTGCTCCTCCCCGTCGGGGTGCAGCGCCAGGGGCACGCTCTCCTCTTGCCCCAGCACATTGATCTCGAGCACCTTGCAGTCCGACCGCAGGAGGTTGGGAAACCTCATTACCTTCCTCAGCAGCGCCCCCGCCGTGGCCTGCTTGCGTGTGGTCCCCGCGCACATGGAAATCACAGAGTCGTCGCTCAGGCCGCAGGTGCCCGAAAGGCGCACCTCTATGGCAGGCTCCGGCGCCGCCGCGGCCGACGCGCGCGCACGCCGCAGTTTGCGCGCACGCGGAGCAGGACGAGCAGGAGGAAGACAATGATGACTCAGGTGCTCGGGAGGAGGAAGTTGAAAAGAATGCGGAGGGACGGGGGGGGAAGAGCAGCGGACGAGCGCAGCCCTGGCAGCAATCCAGCAGTGGGAAACGCAGCGGAATCAGCAGGCAGACGGGACAGGAGGACGGACGAGCAGGGAGGAGAAGGAGGAGTGATTACGGAGACCCGCTCGAATTTACATGGCGCGCAAGTGCCATTTCCCCCGCGCCCCTGCGCGAAAAGATGACAACCGTGCTGGCATTCAAGATGCCCAGGGGCGCGGCGCACTGGAAACCAGAGCAACTTTGCCTTAGCCTCATGGGCCACACAAAAGCAAAAACACATAAACCTGGGAGCTTGAAACCTAGAATCATCAGGTGGCCAAGGCGACAAACAGGAATACGATCTTGGCACGCGGAGATACCTAAACTGTGTCGGGCCTCAAAAAATGAAACTCAACGTGGTCTCCTCTTGAATTGCCGACGTGACTGAAGCGCGGCCGGGCGCGCCATGCAGGGCGGAAGGACCCTGACTGGCCAGTCCAAAGCCAGCGCGAGCCGGCGTGAGCCGGGCATCACAACTGCAGCAGCGGCGAGGCCCAATCGGGGCATACGCATGCCCAGATCATGGTACACCGCGCGTTCCCGCCACTCCCGCATGTTTGATTTGTTCTATCCTCGCGCTCTCTCTCTCTCTCTCTTCGTATTCTTCTCCCTGGGGGCGAGCGAGAAAGCGAGCACGCACCGTCAGTCCAGCGGACCAGCCCTACGAGGGCAGCGCGGGCGGGCTGGGGCCCAAAGAGGGCGCGACGCTGGCGAAATTCATTCCAAGTGGTGGGAGCAGGAGCTGGGTAGATGGGAGCCGGAGGCGGATGGGAGACTAGAGGAAGAAAAACAGCATAAGCTTTCGACGGTCCGCGAGGATGTCTTGGATCTGCGCTGGAGCACCCCCCGCTGGCGCGCGGAGCGCGCCAGGGGCGCCGCCTGAGGCGCTGCCAGGGGGCTCCAGCGCAGATCCATGAAATCTGCGCGGGGCGTCGAAAGTCCATATCGATGACTACCCACCAAGCCACCCCAGCCCAACCCGAAGTCGACGCTGGGCCTGCCAATCTCCAGTGGGGGGACGCTCTGGAACATCGAGAAACACAGCGGAAACCGTACACACAACAACCCGAAATTTCGGGGTGTCTGCTCGGGCCCGGGGCCCCGCCCAGCACCCTCTTTTGTCGAGGAGGGGGGGGGGGCATGCGAGCTGAGCTGCACCACATGCCAGGTGAAGGCCGCGCCCAGGCGGAGCGTCGACAGGAAGCGCTACAGATGTAGAGGGCCTGAGGAGAGGTGCATAATGGTTCTGAATACAGAGGTGCGCTGGCGGACAGCTACTGTATTTTACACTGCTGTGCCGAGGTGAGCATCACATTAGCAGCAGGAGCAGAAGGAGAAGGATGGGGCCACTCTTTGGACGCCGTCTCAGCACAGAGCCCCGCGCCATAGGAAGTACGATCACCATTAGAGCGCCGACTCGCTCCTCACCTCCCCACTGCCAGCGGCGCGTGCAATGAAACGTACATTATGGGAAAACCAAGTCGGATCTGGTAGACCCAGACGGCACCCTGCAGGATCGGCGTGTGAGAGTTTGCTGTCTGCATGTCGTCATTGCAGGGGTGCAAGCCAAGGGACTAGCAGATCCGCCAGGCGTGGCCGGTTTTCACGGACGCCTCGAGGCATCTGGCACGACCACGTCGAGGAAAGCGCCCTCCTCCTCCTCCTCCTGGTCCTTCTCCTCCTCCTGGTCGTCATCATCATCATCATCACCATCATCAGCATCATCATCATCATCATCATCATCACCACCACCATCATCATCATCAGCAGCATCATCATCATCAGCATCATCATCATCCACATCATCATCATCATCATCATCAGCATCACCATCATCATCATCATGATCATCATGATCATCACCATCATCATCAGCAGCATCATCATCAGCAGCATCATCATAATTATCATCACCCGCAGCAGGACTAGCAGAAGTATCATACCCATCACCACCAAACTCATTATCATCATCGTCATCATCATCAGTACCATCATCATCAGCAGCAGTCGCAACATCATCATGATCATGATCATTATCGTCGTCGTCATCAGCATCATCATCGTTATCGGTAGCAGTATCATCAACACAACATCATCATCAACAGCAGCATCAGCATCACAATCATCATCATCATCATCATCATCATCATCATCATCGGCATCGTCAACATCATCTGCATCAGCATCATCACCCTCATCAGCATGGTCGTCGTCATCATCATCATCATCAACATCCTCATCCTCATCATCATCAGCATCACCATTCGCATCGCAAGCATCATCATGATCCTCGTCCCCATCATGATCCTCATCATCAACCTCGTCCTCATCATCCTCACACTCATCATCATCATCATCATCAGCATCATCGTAATCATCACCATCATCACCATCATCATCCTCATCATCATCACCAGCACCATCACCATCACCATCATCAACATCACCACCATCATCATCATCCTACTCCACCTCCTCTTGCTCATAATCGTCATCATCATCAACATCACCATCATCATCAACATCATCCGCGTCATCATCAGCATCAGCATCAACATCAACATCAGCATCAGCATGCTCATGATATGCTGATCAGCATCATCATCATCCGACCAATAACCATCGTACGATGAATCATCATCAGCATCATCATCAGCAGCATCATCGTCATCACCAGAACCAGCATCATCATCATCGCCATCACCATGATCATCATCATCATCACCACCATCATCAGCAGCAGCATCATCATCATCAGCATCATCATCACCCGCATCATCATCATCAGCATCATCATCATCCTCCTCATCATCACCATCACCATCACCATCATCATGATCATCATGATCATCACCATCATCATCAGCAGCATCATCATCAGCAGCAGCATCATCATAATTACCATCACCCACAGCAGCACTAGCAGAAGTATCATACCCATCACCACCAAACTCATCATCATCATCGTCATCATCATCAGTACCATCATCATCAGCAGCAGCCGCAACATCATCATGATCATGATCATTATCGTCGTCGTCATCAGCATCATCATCATCATCATCGTCATCGGTAGCAGCATCATCAACACAACATCATCATCAACAGCAGCATCAGCATCACAATCATCATCATCAGCATCGGCATCGTCATCATCATCTGCATCAGCATCATCACCCTCACCAGCATGGTCGTCATCATCATCATCAACATCCTCATCCTCATCTTCATCAGCATCACCATTCGCATCGCAAGCATCATCATGATCCTCATCCCCATCATGATCCTCATCATCAATCTCGTCCTCATCATCCTCACACTCAAGCTCATCATCATCATCAGCATCATCGTCATCATCACCATCATCATCCTCATCATCATCACCAACACCATCACCATCACCATTATCATCATCACCACCATCATCATCATTGTACTCCACCTCCTCTTGCTCATAATCGTCACCATCATCAACATCACCATCATCATCAACATCATTCGCGTCATCATCAGCATCATCATCAAAACCAGCATCAGCATGCTCATGATATGATGATCACCATCATCATCATCATCCGAGCAATAAGCATCGTACGATTCACCATCATCAGCATCATCATCAGCAGCATCGTCATCACCAGAATCAGCATCATCATCATCGCCATCACCATGATCATCATCATCAGCAGCATCATCATCGTCAGCATCAGCATCATCGTTGCAATCCTCATAATCATTATCATTAGCATCAACATCAGCATCATGATCATCCTCATCATCATCGTCGTCGCCATCATCATCCTCGTCATCAGCGGCAGCATCATCATCAGCATCATCAGCGTCATCATCATAATCATCATCATCAGCATCAGCATCACCATTATGATCAGCATCAACATCATCATCATGAGCATCATCACCATCATCATCATCACCCTCACCCTCATCCTCATCCTTATCTTCATCCTCATCCTCATCCTCATCCTCATCCTCGTCCTCATCCTCATCCTCCTCCTCCTCCTCCTCCTCCTCCTCCTCCTCCTCCTCATCATCATCATCATCATCATCATCATCATCATCATCATCATCATCATCATCATCATCATCCGTATCCTTGCCATCCCCTCTGCCTCCCTCCCCTCCTGCTCCCTCAGCTCCTCCCCCTGCCCGGGCTTTCCGTGCATCCCCTCCTCTCCCAAACCGTCCTCATAGCTGCTGCCCCCTAGGGATCCGCGCGTGCAAAAGCTCCCGGGCGTGCGGATCGGGAGCCGCCGACAGCTCCACAAGGTCTCCCGAGCCTCTCCTCTGGAAGCTGCGCCGGGGTGTCCCCTCGAGGGCCACCCCACTGAGGGGCGGTCCTCGAGGGGAAGGGGGATTCCCCGCCCCCCCAGGAACCAAAGGGCAGTCTCGAGGGCACTACTGCCACTTGCCCTCGTGCACAAAGCCAGCGCAAGGAACCACAGGCAGAGGTGAGTTCGAGACGACTCCCAAAGGGAGGAGTAGGAGTGGGAGGAGGAGGAGGAGGAGGAGGAGGAGGAGGAGGAGGAGGAGGAGGGATGACGGAGGATGGAGGGGGAGCGCGGGTGGGAGACGGCCAGGCTCGGGCTGTGCCGGGTATTCTTGTGGTGCAGACGCTACAATATTGCGGACCGTTTGGTCATATAGCGGACCGTGTGGTAACCTAGGGAGCAGGAGGGAGAGGACGGGGAAGGAAGCAGGAGGAGATAGGAACCTTAGGAGCGCATCCTCGAGCCAACAGAGACGTCGCCAAGGTTGAACAGTTTCCTGTGGGCCCCTGCTGGGAGGGCCACCTCTTCGTGGCGTGAGCCGCATCAGACAGCCTCTCGGCCACCGTCCCGCCCCCACACCCCACACACGCAAGCGCGCCCGAGGGACCGCGAGGCGACAAGGCGTCACAGGGCAATCGCTGGGCGCCCATTCGCTGCCAGGGCCTCCTCTCTGGCCAGGGCGCCCCTGGGCACCAGGCCGCCCTGGGGCTGGGCCTTTGCGATGACCTGCATGTCGTCTGTCAGCATGAAGGGCGGGACGTTGGACTCGCCGATCGCCTCAATCAGCTCCTCGCGGAAGGCTCGTGCTGGGAACCCATGCATCTTTATCTTCTTTTTTGTCTCGGGGGGCACCAGAGGCCAGAATAGCTTCAGGATCAGCCAAAAGGACCGCGGCATACGAATGACAAATGCAAGTCTCACTCGCTCTGGATACACCTTTTCGATCACGGGCACAATACTCTTAAAGAAGGGGACGCCGTCCCAACCGCGTTGCCAGTAGTTCGGCACCAGACCGTAGTTCCCGACGTCGTATATCTCCACAAATGAGGTCCGCAAGACCCCTGTTCTCAGCATCTGCTCTCTCGCCACCTCGAAAGCGTCCTCCACCTCGGTGACGGCGTGCACAAGCAAAAAGTCCGACCCCAACTCTCGCAACAGACCCCCAGCGTCGCACACGCTCTCCCGGTGAATGAACACTGGCAAGCCGAAGGCGTCTTTGCATACGCAGGTCCACTTGTAGCGCATCAGAACGCGCAGCCGGGCGGACGTGCCCTGCCGGAGCTCTGCCTTCCACTCCCTCATCCGGCGGTCGATCTCGAAGTCGCGGCGCCAGTCCAGTGCCTCAGACAGCAAGCCGCAGGCCTGCTCGGAGTTGCCCTGCCGGGCGCGGAGGAACCGCAGCAGCGTCACGGCGCGGCGTGTGTGCGGCGTCTCGGCGCACGCCTTGTGCGAGTCCAGGCCTCTTGCCTCCACGAGCCGTCGGAAGCCCTGGAGGCGACTGTACTCCTGCTCGCTCACGCCGCGAGCGACGACTTCCCACTCTGCGCGAAGGGGGTCGTTGGGCGCCCTCCACGGCCGAGTCACGTCGGGCTGCGGTCTACGAGAAGGGCTGCCCTCCTCGAGCTTCAGAGGACTCGCCCGCCGGCGGCAGCACCTCAGGCGGCGGATGCCATGGGCCCTCTGCTCGCTCGGCAGCAGCGCCGCCAGTTCCTCCTCTGCCGCACCCCGGCCGCTGACGCGACGCTCCAGGCCTGGGCCGCAGCCAGAGTCGTCGCCGCGTGCGCCAGCGGCTCCCTCGCCGCCCTTGCTGGTCAAGCCGCCGCCTTGGGCGCACCTGAAATCGGGTGCGGCATGCCTGGAGGAGGAGGTGCTGGAGCCCAGCTGGTCAGCATCCTGACGGATGGCGCAATCGCTGCACGATGCGCCCATCCGCCCGCAGCCGGGTCGCCCAGCGAACCCACAGAGCTCCAGGGAGGAAGTGGCTCAGATGGACCAACCCATTGATTGGCTCGAGCCGAATTAGACTGGACTGTATCGATGAGGAACAGATGCCAGACGAAGTTGCTCGAGGAGGCATGCAGGTGATGGTTTCGGAGTGGCTCTACCAGTGCGGAGTGTGTGTGTGTGTATGTGTGTGTGTGGGGGGAGTCAAGGGTATTTCCAGCCTCGGGCCGATCCTTGTCGGCATGCAGGTGTGGTAAGCGACTGGCGTTGCTTCTCTTCCTTCTCCTCCTTTTCCTCCTCCTTTTCCTCCTCCTCCTCCTCCTCCTACTCCTGCTCCTCCTCCTCCTCCTCCTCCTCCTCCTCCTCATCATCATCATCATCATCATCATCACCACCATCAGCATCAACATCATCATCATCAGCAGCGGTATGAGCATCACACTCATCATCATCACCGCCATGGTCATGATCATGATCATGATCATCATCATCATCATCATCATCTGCATCATCATCATCATCATCATCATCATCACCAGCAGCATCAGTATCATCATCGGCATGATCATCAGCATCATCATCAGCATCATCATCATCCTCATCAGCAGCATCATCATCAGCAGTACCACCGTCACCATCATCATCATCAGCAACATCATCAGCAGCATCAGCATCAGCATCATCATCAGCATCATCATCGTACTCCTGCTCCTCCGCGAGCGTGCTCCCTCTCGATCTCATCCTCCTTCTTCTCCTCTCCTCTTCCTCCCCGTCGACACCCCTTTTCCCTCCTCACCAATCCCCTCCTCGTCTTCATCCTCCTTACACGTCGGGGCGATCGGATCCCGCGCCACAGGACTGACTGGGACAGGACAGAAGGAGAACCAGGACAAGCAGTTGTGGAGGAGGCGACAGGGAAAGGCTACAAAGGCGGGATGCGCCTCGCGTCCAGATGCAGCAGGGGACTCGATTAGTATTACTCGGCTGAGAAACCTGGACTAGCCTCCAGGAAAACGATACCCCTGGCTTCGACCTTCGACAAGACATAACCAGACTCCTGGACTGGGATTGCAAAAGCTGAATAATCTTCCACACAGGATGCTAAACACTCTGGGCTATGAGATAGGCAATTGATTCTGATGCACTTGCAGAACATCTGTGCTGGTGTACGAGGTGAAGCAGTTAGAGTACATGGTGAGCCGCTGACGCCTCTGCTGCCCACGCCAGCACCAGCGCCTCACATCCACTCAAGCACAAACTGCTTGGCTCAAGGCCGAGTGCACCGTAAAGCTAGATCTTGGCCAGCGACTGCCGCGAGCGCCAACCACTGATAGCATTTCAGATCGTCACATAAGCAAACACTCCCGACGTCCGCGGACAGTTTCTCCGCCCGCGCCACCCTCCCAACACGCATCCCCAGCGCGCGAAGCACGCCAGGGGGCGGGAGAGGGGCTGGCAACCGCGGAAGCCTCTGGAGTCCTGCAGATCCGAAACGAACGAAGAGCACGCAAGGCAAGAACATCCTCGGACCTCGAGAATCCCCCCACGGGAGCGTGCTCTGGCCGCCCTCCGCTCCTCCACCCCGTGAGCACCAGGCGCCTTCGCAGGCCCCGCGAGGGCCCTGCACACGAGCTCCCCCGAGGACCAGGCCTGCCCGGGTGCGCGGAAGGATGTCGGAGGAGGAGGGGGGAGGGAGGGGGCACGGAGGAGGGAAGGGGGGAGGGGGGAGGGGGGAGGAGGGAGGAGGGGGAAGGAGGGAGGGGGAAGGAGGGAGGAGGGAGGAGGGAGGAGGGAGGAGCGCACGCAGCCGAGGCGCACCAAGGATCAGCGCCGCCGCCCAAGACGCAGCCGATGACGAAGAGGCTGTGCCCGCCGACCGCGAGGACACGGCCGCTGGGGAAGACGCCCAAAGGCGCTGGCGAGGCTCTAGCAAAAACGCCGCCTGGTTTCCGGTGGCCCTGCGACCCCCCGCGGGCAGCCCTGGCCCGCTGGCACCAGGCCCTGGCAAGACGCCGCCCCCCCCCCGTTGGGGCTGCCACGCGCGCTGCGGGGGGGCGCCGCCGTGGCCACTGGTGCCGCTGGGCGCCCCGCTGGAAGGACGCGGGGGACCGCCTGGGAGGCCGCCAGCCGCTGGAAAGGAGCGCTGGCGTCGGCGCTGTCCAGACCGTACAGGGAAGCGAAGACGGGGTGGCTGCTGCGACCCGCCCATCGCGGAGGGGATGCGCTGCCGCGAGAAGTCTACCCCAAGCCGCGGCCTAGTGCCCGACGTGGCCCTGCACGTCTTCGAATTTAGCCTGCATATGGTATACGTGGAAGGCGAGCACCGCCACCCCAAGGGCCAGCCCACGAGACAACTTGCCCCAATACTTCGCTACCGCCACGCTGCCCAGACCAAGGCGACCAAGCGGCCCAGGCAAGGAGGACCGCGGCAGCGCAGTCTCGTGCCATAGCCGCGAGCAACCCACGTAGTGTACGATGTCGTTTCCGCCACCCCTCGCACCAGAACCAGCACGGCCGTCCAGCCGTCGTCAAGCCGCATCCGAGTCCTCAGGTCCTCAGTGCTTCCCATTACGGCACCTGCACCAGCAGGACTCGGAGAGCAGTCTGGTGTGCACCAGGGGCAGGCGGCCCATCATCGTCGTCGTCGACGTCGTCGTCGTCATCGTCATCATCATCATCATCATCAGCATCATCATCATCATCATCATCATCATCATCATCATCATCAGCAGCAGCAGCAGCAGCAGCATCATTATCACCAACATCATCAGCATCATCATCACCATCACAACCATCATCATCATCATCATCATAATCAGCATCATCATAATCATCGTCATCATCGTCACCATCAGCATCAGCATCAGCATCAGCATCATCATCATCATCATCATCAGCATCATCACCGTCATCAACATCATCATCACTATTATCATCATCACCCTCATCATCATCAATCTCATCATCATCATCATCATCATCGTCAGCATCCGCATCTGCATCATCATCGCACCATCATCACCCTCATCATCATCCTCATCATCATCACCATCCTCATCCTCATCCTCATCCTCATCATCAGCATCCGCAAAATCGCATCATCATCATCATCATCGTCACCGTCATCATCATCCTCATCATCCTCATCATCCTCATCACCATCCTCATCCTCATCACCATCAGCATCGTAATCGTCATCATTAACAGCATCATCATCACCATCATCATCATCATAACCAGCATCAGCATCATCATCATCAGCATCACCATCATGATCATCATCATCGGCATCGACACCATCAGCATCATCATCCGCAACATCATCATCGACGACGACATCATCATCATCATCATCATCATCATCATCATCATCATCACCATCATCATCATCATCAGCATCATCACCATCATCATGATCATCATAATCATCATCATCAGCATCATCATCAGCAACATCATTATCATCAGCAGCCTCATCCTCATCCTCATCGTCTCGGGTTGGGCGAACCAACGGGGCGTAGATCCACGGCTGCTCATGAGCGGCGAGCAGGCTCTCATACTACTGCACGATCGCCGAGGGAGAAGCCGCCCGCCCGCACACACACACACAGCCACGGGAGGTGATTCCGCCGCCTCCGCGTGGAGCCTCTGAAAAGCCTCCCCCACGCCCCGAGACCTCCACTACCGCCCGCCGTCGGATGGCCAGTGCGCGAGGCTGGAGCGCCACGGCCGCTGGCGACCAGAGACTCCCTGCAGTGGACGGCAGGTCCGCCTTGGGCAACGCGGAAGTCGGCAGCCGCAAGACCCTGCGCAGCACCGGGGTAGAATTCAGCCGCGCACGCGAGGGAGATGACGCTGGTCACGCTGCGGGTACACACCGACAAGCTGGAGGGCGATTCCATCCTGCCAACGGCATTGCTTCGGCGCCATCACTTCACGAAGGACAGCCCTCAAAACTTCAAGAAGAAGGGACAAAGACGCGGAGCAGCAACAGCAGAATGGGCAGGGGAAGTAGGAGGAGGAGTGGAGGAGAGGAGGAGGATGAGGAGGAGGAGGAGGAGAAGGAAGAGGAGGAGGACGAGGAGAAGGAGGAGGAGGAGGAAGAAGAGAGGAGGAGGAGGAAAGGAGAGGAGATGAGAGGAGAGGAGAGGAGAGGAGTGGGGAGGAGAGGAGAGGAGAGGAGAGGAGAGGAGAGGAGAGGAGAGGAGAGGAGAGGAGAGGAGAGCCGAGAGCCGAGAGGAGGACATGTCATGCAGGGTAGGACAGCGACGAGAGGCGCTTTGCAACGGTGAGCTCGTCCCCAGCCCCTCTTGCACTCGTAAAAGGCAGCGATTCCTTAGAGGCAATACCAGACGCGCCGATGTTTGAGAGCTACTTGCCCTGCGAACTACAGTCGCACCGATCATTGAGAAACCTAAACTCCCCACTGTTCCCCCAAGCTCACGGGCATGATCCAGGAAGGTAGCCCAGCTCCTAATCCCCTGTACCTGCAAGGGGCTGTACGCGCAGAGCTGGCACAGCATTTGAACATATTCTTAATCATAGCCTCCGGTGTCGACCATAGCAATTTCCCCTGGGCACGGGCAACAGGCCCTGGCGGTCCTCGGCCCACACGTGCCCCACGAGGCCCCACAGGACTGGTCCCTGTGCCCGCTCGACGCCCTCGTGCCCGCATGCAGAAAACACCACTGTCCGCTGTCCGAGAAGGCCTGCGATCCGGCCAAGATGCCCCCACGTGGGCTGTCTTTGCGAGAGCCTTCCAAATGCGCCTGGACGCCCTCTACGTGTCCTAGCCAGCAGCTCGCCAGCCCACGAAGGCATCCCCATGGTGGCCCCTCGGAGGCGAAAGTAAGGAACCCTTTGATAAGGAATCCAGGGTCTGGAAGCCAGTGGAACTCCAATCGTGGATTGGCCATGGGTAACACCACCGCCCTCAGCAGACAAGAGATCCTCCAGGGTCTGAAGCCTCGTGGGCACATTCCTTGACGAACCCCCCTACCGTAATTGTGCTTCTTGGCCGAAGACGACATCCATAAGGCATCCGTAGCTCTCCGAAGGGTCTGAAGAGTGTTACGGTGTTACCGTGCTGCTTCAGACGGCCTTTGGGCGCTCCGAATGCCCCTTCTGGTCGGGGAGGCAGAAGACAACGCCAGGACAGCGCAAGGCAGTTTCACGTCGGCCTCAGGGAGGCATCATTGCTCATCCTCGTCCTCCCCCTCTCCCGTCCAGAGACCCCTAGGACCTGAGCCTGTTATTTTTTAATTCTGGAGCGGTGACCAACGTCACTAGGGGGGTGGGGGGGCCAGTGACGTCACGTTTCGTGCCCGCGGTGCCTGGGAATGTCTAGGAATGACCGAGGACGACGGGTAGGAGCGGCATGTAGGCGGCGATCTGCACCACAGCGGCTGTGAGCACCACAGTGCATGCGTGCACCACAGCGCCTGTGTACACCACAGCGAATGTGTACACCACGCCACCGCGTGCAACACAGCGCCTGTGTGCACCACAGTGCCTGCGTGCACCGCAGCGCTTGTGTACACCACAACGCCTGCGTGCACCGCAGCAGCCGTGTACAACACAGCACCAATGTACACCACAGTGCCTGCGTGCACCGCAGCGCCAGTGTACACCACGGCACCCGTGTCACCACAGCAACCGTCGACAACATCACACCATTGTTGCATATAGAATTTTAGACGGAATCCCGTTGACACAATGGAGCGCCTGCGGATCCCTCAGGAAACATGTTTTTAGAGAGGATTTCGATAGGAATCCTTGTGCAAATAGGAGCGCCTCTAGAAGATACGAGCCCTCCCGAGGAGGAGGAGGAGGAAGAGGAGGAGGAGTAGGAGGATGAGGAGAGGAGAAGGAGGAGGAATAGGTGCCGTGCCTTGGGGATCGGGACGCGCATAGAGACAGGGCCAGCGTCCTCCTCAAGGAGTTCGCTTGAGGCGTCGGGCACTGTCGAGGCAATGCAGTGGGAGGCCCTGTGGCGTGTGGGCGCTGCGGCATGGCACGAGCGCTTACATTTTTCTTGTACGCTCCCATTCTGCGGTGCACACTGAGATGCGCACGTGCGCTGTAGCGCCGACCCGCACGACGGGGAGGAGGGTGAGGGAGGACGAGGAGGAAGAGGAGGAGGAAGGAGTGAAGACGGAAGAAAGCGCATTCAATTCCCAGCAGTACCCTTGCGTGGTGTTTAGCTGTCTGCAGCAGGTCCTCACCGACATGTTCCACGCAAGCACTGCGGTGTGCACCAGCGCACTGTTGCACACGGATGCTGTGGTGTACAAGGCGCTACGATGCACGCAGGCACTGTGGTGTACATTGGTGCTGTGTTGCAGACGGCTGATGCGGTGTACACAGGCGCTGTGGTGCACGCAAGCACCGTGGTGGACACAGGCGTTGCGTTGCACACGGCTGTTGCGGTGTACACAGGCGCTGTGGTGTGCACGCGCGCTGTGGTGCACGCGAGCACCGTGGTGCTCACAACCGCTGTGGTGCAGATTGTCACCGACATGCTGCTCCTGATTGGCCTCGGTCATTCCTAGGCATTCGCAGACGCCGCCGGCGCGGAACGTGACGGCACCTGGGAGGGGGGGCGGGGCCGGTGACGGCCGCTATCACGGAAAATAAAAACAGGCTCCCTCGTGACCATGACCTCTCCAAAACAACCCATGGCATGCCCATGACCTTTCCAAGAACATTGTGGCCTTTCAGAATGCCTTCCAAATAACCTACGGACGAAACTCCGCAACAAGCGAAAAGCGCTTCTATCGGAATCAGGACATGGTTAAACTGATATGGTTCGTCATCTCTACTGGTTCGGAATGGCTTCCAAAGGCACTTGATGCACTTGGACGCCACAATAGGGCCCACCAGCCGTATCAATGACCATGTATCGGCTACCCCGAGATGCCTCACCGTGGCCGCGACAAGGTACGCGCGCGATACGAGCATAAGCAAATCGAACAAATGACAAGTTCTTCGGACAAGACCGTGACCATGAGGCGCGCGGCAACGCAACTGGCTCCTGGAAGAACTTCGAGGAACGAGGAAAGGATACGGGAGGACAGAGAGGGCAACCAGGAAGCCGAAAGAGAAACAGAGCAAATATAGAAAACTCGGACATAACAGGACGAGGAGGCACGGACATGGAAGCTTGTTCGAGGCAAGCGACGTGCTGTCATCCTCGAGCTGCTAGCTCCTCCGACTGTGATGCTCTGCTCGACGCAAGGATCTCCCTTCTGCTGGAGCGCACCCCGCCTTGCTGTAGAACAGTAGCACGCCCCCCCCCTCAGCGAAAACACCGTGAACACACGCGGTTGCAAGGGGAGGTCGCCTGGACTCCCGCGGGCATGCCGCCTGCGCGGGTCAGCGGCCAGCTCTCCCCTCCCGTCACCTCACCTCCGCTTGCCCCTCTCTCTCTCTCTCTCTTTCTCTTTCTCTATCTCGCTCTGTCTCCCTCTCTCTCTCTCTGTCTGTATCTGTATATGTGTAAAATAAAGATAGCTAGACAGAGATCACTCTCTCTCTCTCTTTGTCTCTCGCTCTCTCTCTCTCTCTCTATATATCTCTCTCTCTCTCTCTCTCGCTTGCGATGTACCTCCCTTTCTTTCTGTCCTGGAGAAAAATAATCGAGCCCGAGGGATGGGCCCGCCATCAGACAGATAGATTCTGCGTCAGCCAGCCCAGAAGCGGTCCACCATCAAAAGCGGTGGAAGATACTGCAGGCGAATGGCCTCACCACTAAACATGGTGGATGACGGTGGCGGCGAAGACACCATCAAGCATGGAAAAGAATATTGATCTGGATTCGCCTCCACCTCCCCCTACACCACCACCTCATCCTCCTTCTCCTCCGCCTTCTCCTCCTGAAAGTTCTACCACTCACCACACACGAGCGTGCGCAGACTGCCCTTGCGCGAGTACGTGCACACGCGACGAGAGCGCGCACGTTGCGCGCCCATGAAGACACGTTCCCAGCCATAGCGACTGGCTTCGTAGATAAGGTTCCCCGACGCATAGGCTATGCATGGGCCTATTGTAGGCCTATGCATAGCCAGCGCATAAGCCTACGAGCGCTTGGCGGCGCCAGGCGCTGCGCGCGACTGGCCGAGGTGGATGCTGCCCCGACCAACTGGATGGTATGCTGCAGACATCAGCCCGGGGTAGGACGAGAATGACGTCATGATGCGATCGGCTCGGGTATGTTTCAGACATTGTGGAATGTCTATCAGACATTGTGGAATGTCTACCGGCCTTCGTTTGTGGGGTCCGTGAGGAGCAGAAAGAAGTCCTGGAAATCCTGGAAGCATCGAATACCTTCGAATTTCTCCTTCTTATGACTTCTGCGCCTCTGAAGGGGGCCCAGCGAGCTCAAACAAGAAAAACTGAATTGAGCCCGTCCTGTCCAGAAGCGCGACGTCGAGAGCCGAGGGGTCTCCTCGAGGAGACCTCGCCGCCGAATTCGGAGGGCCGCGCGCGCCCACGCTGCGCGACAACCAGGCATTCGAAGTCCCGCTGAGGGAAAAACAAAAAAACTGGCCCGAAGCGTCTGCGTCCGCATCCATGTTTGGGTCAGCGGCCGCAGGAACACTCGGCTGCACGCAAGACTGGCCCTAGGCAAGAGTGACCTCTGGTGCGCGACTTTCGGGGTCCGCGGGGAGGTCAAGCCCGAGCGCGCAAGACGCTGCTATCGCATCGCGTTCAGCTATCTTCATCTGGGGACCCCAGTGTGTCCGCACCAAGGGTCACTCCGGCGAAACGCCACTCTGACGTGTAGCCGAACTCCGTGGCGTTAGCGAGCTTGGTCTGTTGACAATACGGTACCACGCGCATGCGCACAGATACAAGGCCAACTTGAGACGCCAAGACATGTCAGCTTGTCGATGGGTCGCCGGATGGGTGCGGTTCGTCTGTTTCTGGGGTATCCTGGAGACTTTCTACGACGACTTCAACTGCACTCCAGCAGAAACGACGAGCGACCTGGCGGACGACCCCGCCCTCGGAGCCCGCCGCCAGGATCGTGCGGAGGCCCAGGCGCGAACCTCCCTGGGCGATTTTACACCTGCCAGCGCTTTGGCTTTTTTAAGCCGCGGCCCCAACTTGGCGGCTCGCAGACAGGGGGGGCAGGCGAGGGGGAGATCTTCTAAGAAGCTTCCTGCATTCTGGAAGGCTCTCCCCGCGCCCGACACGTTTGTGCGTGCCGCTTACAGTAGACAGGCACCGTGGCTCGTTGAGGCAACCGCTCCGACTCTGCTATTCGCAAGCGAGGCGCTTGGGCCGCTTAGGAAAAACTACACACACACACACACACCGTGCCCACACCTTTCACGTCGCCTGTCAGACCCTGGGTATGGATCCGGCGGGCGCTGCTGCTAGATGAAAGCTACAACCCTGTGGAAGGTCAGAACAGATCCCCTACCCAGGGCAGCCTCGTCGGACAGAAGCAGCAACGGTGGAAGCCCGCGAAGGGGTGCCGGCCACGACAGCCACCTGAGGCTGGAGGGCTGGCTACAGTGCTGCAGGAGAGGGGGGGACGGAGGGGGACGTCAGGCGGAAACACAACTTTGCGCAATCCAGTCTTGATCTCAGTGGGCCCTGGAAACGACAGGGCCTTTTTTTTCGTTTTCGTTTTGCCGTTTTTTTTGCAAATTCTGACGCATATTGTTTACCGATTCCGTAGCCGTTTTCGTTACCGGTTCCAGCTCCGGCCTTAATCCTGGAGCCGTTCTTGTTGCCGTTTCCGGTCGCCGTGTTTTTCCCCGTTTCCATTTTCAAGAGACACTTGTTCGGAAACAGTTTGAAAACGGCCCTGCCGTTTCCGGGGCCCGCTAAGGTCTTGATGTCTTGCCAGCAAGCCATCCGCCACCGTGTCTGCACGGAGTGGGCGCATTTTCATGCTCTACTGTTGCCTGGTGAAATTTATTCATTGTTTTCTACTGGCGATCCCCGTGTAAAAACAGGCCCCCGAAGGGGAGCCAAAACAGCCGAAACGCAAACACCCCTGAAAGGGTCAACGCAGCTAAGCATATTAATCTGGTCACATTCAAACGTTGCTCAAGCACATTCAAACATGCATTACACATCCGAACAGGCAGAACAACACCTCAACACAGCCAAAGCCATAAACACAAACGCGCCAAGTAAAGGGAAGAGGCTGTTGCACAGGCGCGTGGCGGGTTTTGCCGCAGGCAGGTGCGCTATAGAAGTGCACTCGCACCCTTCCAAGCGGGAGACAAACATGTACGAGGCCATGGGTACCGTTGCCCGAAGTGGGGTATTAATTGGTTCGCGTATTTACGTAAGGCCTCCGCCAGCTCCAAACCGAACGCTCAAGACCGAACCCTCCCCCCAAGCGAATGCGCGCTCCAAGGGCAAAGGATAAATAGGAGCAGAAATAGGCTCGAAGGCGGGAAGAGCAGCATGGACTTCGAGAGAAATAACGTGTCGGCGGCGTGGATGGAGGGGGCCGACAGCCCCTGGAAGGCGGAGGGATGAGCAGGAGGGCGAGGATGAGGGAAGGGGGGCGGAGGAGAATCCTGGAGGGGCGCGAGCGGGAAAGGCAGGGAGGAGGGGACGAAGACAAGGGGGAAAGGGAAAGACGAGTAGATGAAAGGAGTGAGAATGAGGGAAGGATGCTGGGAAGGAGGAGGGGGTGAAGGAGAGGGGGAGGATGAAGCGGTCCTCCTCCTCCACCTCCTCCTTCTCCTCACTGCCATCCTCGTCTTCAAACACCTGCATCTGCTGCTCCTCCTCCCCCCATACCCTGCTTCTCCTCAAATCTTTTGCCTGGATATTCATAGCCCCTGCAAGATGTTATGTTAATGTCTCGTGGTCGGTGGGCTCCGCCGATGACATGGGGAAGAAGGGATACTGCCGTCAAGCTTACACTCGGATCACACTGAAGGGAGGAGGCCGGCCCGCCAGCCGACGCACGCGCGCGCGCCGCCGGCACGCTCCTTTTTTCCGCTAACCTTGAGTGTGTATAAATAGCTGCGGAAGCAGAAGCAGTCAGTACATCAGGCAGTGCGCGCAAGGCAAAGGAGCAGCAAGGACTACAAGATGGTGGAGCGGAAGGGGTGCATTGACTCCCCCCGCGGCGGGGTCCGTTGAGCCGCCCCGACCCCCCAACCCACCTGACCGGTACATATGTACAGCCACCGGAGCGAACCCCAAAAGCATTTTACCGCTCGACGGTGGTTGCCAGGGGGCGGAAGGCCAAAGAAATCCGACGTTCCCCGCCCGGGCAAATATTTCCCAGCTCAGGCCACAATGCCCGTGCACACCTGGTGCACCCGCTCCATGATGCAGTGTGGACGAGCATCGACTGTGTCGTACTGGTTCTTTTTGTGATGCGTCACCTTTGCCAACGACTCCTCCAATCACGAGAATCATCCCACGTGTCTCTGTTACTCCAGTTCCACCCGTAATGATCTCTTGAGTAGTTGTCATGTCTATCTCCTCTTCTGCTTGCACTCCAGCTACTTGGTTCACTCTCGCCCTGGCCCTTCTCGCGCGGCGTCGCCTTCGACGTGGGCGGCGGCGGGGGCTCTGGCAAGGTACTTGGCATCCCAGAGTCACGTTTGAACTTGTCGTTGTATTCGTTCAAACTCAACCACTGCGACGTTTTGCCATGGCCAGTGACTTGCTGATGACGAGATCTATGTACGCAGTCTCCTTCTATTTCTCCATTCTCATACTTGTCTCCGTAGTTGACCGTCACGTCGTAGCCCCCGTCCATGGCCGGCCGGGGGCCGCCGCCGTCGCTCGCGCGGCCGCCGCCCAGCTCTACAGCCAGTCTTTCCAGAACAGGCCCATCGGCCCGAGATTAATCTGCCCACGGCTGGATTCTGTCATAATCAATCCAGCCAGCATTAGTGCCCGACGCGGCTGGGCCGGCGGGCACCGGAGCATAGGGGGCGGCCCTATAGGACTGCCTTCCTTCCTGGTACTTCGGTCTCGATGCTGGGCGAGAATGCCGCTGAGCTCGCAACCCCGAAGCGGCGGCGCCGCTCGAGGTGTCCTCTTCAACTATCATGATTGCCGCATCTGCTGAAGACTCATCTGTGATTGTCTCTGTGTGAGAGTCGGCTGGGCCGCTCTCCTCCTTTTTCTTCTTCAAGCAGCCGGTGAGACCAATGGCGCTGTCAGCATTGAAGACTCCAAAAGTGCTGTTGGCAATGCTGGTTTTTACACTAAACTGAGATTCCGTCGAAGTATGCATGAAATCCTAGCTTCTTGGATGCCTGAACAATTCCGTCTTGCGGTCTCGGATACTTCATTTCCGAATCCTTTGGTCCATTCACGAAGTCGGTCAAATGATTCGGCCGCGGACCTAATCCGACAATCCAAAGCATAAGTATCATGCATAATTTCAAGAGCTGCCAGAAATGCAACATCGATTCCCGCAGACACGAACAGGAATATTACTTCTCGTACAGCTAAGAGAATCCGCCCCCATCTTCCGCGAGTGGGGACTCGATCAAATGGCCGGTCCTAGATTTTGTCCACGAGCTCAGATAATCCCGGCGGTGCATCATGAATGATGTCTTTGTCCAATGGCATAGTAGTTGAAACTGTCGATACGGATTCAAGACTGACTTGTGTTGTAACTCTGATAACTTGTGACCTATCGTGTGGGTCATCATTGCGCTTATAACTCGATACGCAGACAGAAATAGAAACCAACTCAAGCCAAACGAACAGCGCTCGCATCGGAACAATCAGCTGATGACGCTGGGCTATATGTTGATTGCATATGCCGCCCGACGTCGCTGCCTTCTCTTCACGTGCTGATATTACTTCATCATTACGGCTGGGCCGATAAGAAATTCAGCAACAACCCAGACATCTACATATCCGACTTGGTTCGACGCAGCAACTCGGTTGGCTTCGTTTAGGTTTTTGGTTAACCTTTGAACCGATGGAATTATTACTCCTCTTTCCGCCATTCCTTGCCCCCATTGATCCCGGCCTGTTTCTGGACGAATGTACTCGGCACTGACGTGTTCCCACTCAAAAACAAAAACAGCAAGTGCAGAGCACCTCACTGGACGAGTGTATTGGTCCAGACCTGGCGTCCAGATTAATGGCCACCATTGGGCGGCGGTTGGGGCTTTTTCCCCGTGCTTGAACTTCAACCATTCAATGAATCGGAGCTTGAGTGGTTCCAGATACTGGAAGTATGGCTCATGACGCGCCAGCGGCTGTGCCGAGGCGCTGTCAGGTCTCCAGGAAGGGGCGGTCCCCGGCTGCGAATTTACAAACGTACAGCCTGCCAAAGCAGCCCGAAGACGTATCTCTGGGTCTCTAACCCACTTGCGCTGGCGTTGGTCCGCTGTGTTTAAGTTTCCCAGCGCATCGGAAGAGCTCTTTTTTCATCGCTTTCAGCCTGTTAGAAATGATATTGGAGCCACTCTCCCCTCTTAGGGGGGCATCAAGACGTGGAGCCAGTCCTAGGCTCGCCCATGGAGCAACCAATGCATCTCTGCCAGGCGATTGTACATACTTCACTTTGACGTTGTGTTTGTACGTGACAGGGGTGAGCAATTGTAGACAATATCCGAATCCAGCCCCCACGGCATGGTATTGATTGCAAATGTACCTCCCATCGTCAGTCCACATTCTCCGCGAGATGAGGGCCCCTTCCTCCTCGGACAGCGTGCTCCCCCCTACATGGGCGACTTGTTCATCGGAAAAGATCAATGTTCCAATTGTGCCGTGCGAGAAAGCAACTTCATACGCAGACCACTCTTGAGAAAATATCATGTTCCACATCATCTGCTGTGCGCGAAGTGCATTCTGCTCAACCAACGTCAATTGCACGATGCGAGAGATGTCATTGAAGCGTGCTTGTCCTGTCGTCGCAAGAGCCCCGTCGCGGCAGATGCGATGCCATAGGCGGGTCACCGCCCGCCGGTCGAAGACAACAATGCATTGCCAATTCTCGTAATGCGTCGCATCAGTTCCCCAGGAAGACGGGGAAACTGCGCGAGGTCAAGTTCCCCGAGTCGGAGGCCCACTGCCGGCCGGGGCAACGCCCGCCGCCTGATAGACCTTTGCGGGTGGAGCTTCACCATCCTTCCGCTTGCTGGGCCAGTGAGGGACGTGCTCAGCATATTCTGTAGGGAACTCACGCCTCGTAGGTATCAACCTAAGGAGTCCGTAATCAGGTGCTTTGCAAAATCCGCTTAGCTTGTTCGAGTACTTGGTTGCTTCTGTGTCCCCATTTTCTTCACCAACGACTGTGTCGTGTGAGGTGTCTGGGTTCAGAAAGGACTGCCAGTGCTCCATTAGCTTTGTCTCGTCAAGAACCAGAATGTCATCAGCCGTTCTGCCTAGAACATGAATTTCTCCCGATGGTAACATTGTTAGGCCACGTACTGAAAGAGCAGCGGTGGCATGAGTGATTCCATCGCTCCTCATCTTCCGGACGAGACCACCTACGTACACCCACCCGCCCGATGATCGGGCGTATTCGGAGCAATGTCTGG